ACACACACACACACACACACACACACAGACACACACACACACACACGCACACACACACACACGGGCAAGGCATATAATCGTTATCATCCATGCAGTTTTTCGGCTTGTCTCATCAAAATCAAACTGAAGACCTGCGTGTTTTTGCGTACAATCGAGCCAAATCTTAATAACATGTTTTTCCAACCACAGCAACCCAAGCAGTTGTATTATAGCAGGGCATGCCCACACACAGCAGCTATGATGTACAAGTCTTCTTGTGGCTTTGTGTCTCGCAAACCACACAGTGGAAATCGGTCGCTCTTAATCCCCGGCGGCTATATAATGCTAAATGTTGTCCTCTTTATTTAGGTCTGCATCTTCATAGGAGAGACGCTGCTCTTCTTGAACTGGGCCATAACGGCAGACATTTTAATGGTGAGTACTCAAAACCCATACTTACCCTTTGGCGTCTCCGGGAATTCTGTTATTTTACCAGTTTAATTACAAATACCCATGTTGTATTTTGAGTTGTGAGGGCGGATGAGATGTCCGCACGAACCTGGGTTCTTTTTCAAATGTATTTTTCCGCGTACTTGGCCTTTCATCCTCACGCAAACTCGACCTTTGTTTCGTCCCGCCTGAGTGTAAATGTTCTCCAATTGTTTATAATCACTTAGCCGGGTGGTCAAAAAAGGTTCTTTCTTTTGGCCTTTCGCTTTTTCATTTTGGAAGTTTTCTCTTTTTGATAACGTTACAGCATGAGACAGCGGAACAAAAAACATTTTGACATATACTAAGGTTTCCGTATTTTCAACAAAGAAACATGCCATAGAACAGGGGTGTCAAACTCATTTCACATTGTGGGCCACATACGGCCTCGGTACATGTCAAGTGGGCCAGACCATTAAAATTATAGCATACTCTGCTATAATTAACCAAAATATGTCTTTCCTTTGTTTTGGTCTCAGGAAGCACAACAATATTAGGAAAATGTTGAAATTTAATGAACATATCTTTTACAAAACATTTCATGAAGCACCTTAGATTTCCTTCGACAAATGTGCAATTTACTTTTATCATTCACATATATGCATTGCAACTGATCATCACTGTTTGCACAAAGGCACAAAACTTTAACAAGTAATTGGTATTGGAAAAATATAGTAATGCACTTTAAGATTAAACGAGATTTATAAAGAAAGGAATTCTTAAACCATTTACACATGTGCATAATTAATCTAAATTTAATCCACACATTTTTTTCACTTTTAAATTATCCTGCCGGCCTGATTGAACCTCCTTGGGGCCCGGTGCCGGCCCGTGGGCCGTATGTTTGGCACCCTGCCATAGAAAATAATGGAAAAATGAACTTTCCAGGATTAAACTCTCACCGTTACGATAAAGGTGTCAATTGTACTAGAACATTCTGTCACATAAGTGTAGGCATAATGCGAACGACACCAATCCTCTTGCCACGTGTCTCGTTTTAATATATCACACCATTCTCTCAATTCCCTGTTGTTATTGTTGTGCCTTTTCAAAAAAAAAAAACCCAAAACAAATATGAATAAACAAATTATTTTTTCAAATACTTGGTAGGGACACAAATTTCAAGTAAGTAAGGCCAGAGTGCTCTCAAAAAATACATTTATTTCAAAAGAGCAAAAAGGCAAACAAGGTACTGGAAGGAATCAAAAACTCAATGAACAAAGTTTAAAAATGACATTCAAAGCAACAAACCAAAACCGGGCACAAATTAACTACAAACGGAATCAAGACATGACGTGGCGTCAAACAGGACTGACAGCAACAGAATCAACAAACACAATGACCTGAAAACGGCGCAAAATCAAGGAACTAAATACCATAAAAGTGACGAGACAACGAGGAGCACCTGGGCAAGACATGTGTGGCTGAGCGAGCTGATTAGAAGACACGAGGGCCTAGTTGACGAGCACAGACGGGGAAAATAAAGTGGGCGGGACAAAACATGAACTACAAAAAAAAAAAACACAACATGACAAGCCAAAAGTCAAATACAATCTAAAAAACAAAAAAACACAGCTCATGACAGTGTGTACATATAAACATTGACTGACACCATCAAATAATTTGACCGTAGCATTTTTTTTTTTTTTTTTTTAACTGAGTCCTGATAGCAAGTGATTTAAACTCACATGTACGGGGTGTGTCACCTCATCGGTTTATTATTCATTGATACGTGTGCAATAGAGAATTTATCTCTTCATCACCTGACACAGTCGTTCAAGTTGCTCATTGCCCCTTTCTCTGTGCAGTTTGTGGTGATTCCCACACGGAGAGCAACGGCGGTGGCGTTCCAGAGCTTCACCTCTCACCTACTCGGTGATGCAGGAAGTCCATACCTAATAGGCCTGGTAAGACTCTCTCCCACAGTGAAATTAAAAGTTGAGCTTCGCACTAGGGTGTGGATGTGAGCTGGAATGTGCAAAAGGACACAACGTGAGCTTTGCTCCTCTCAGCTCTGAGTCGTCATTGTTTCATTGGAGTTTTGGTTTTCCGAGGAAATGTTCCAGAAGACGAGAGTCCAGAGAGTTATTCTAACTGTCACACCCGGCGGCTCCCTCACACACACACACACACACACACACACACACACACACACACACACACACACACACACACACACACACGCGCGCGCACAGAACAGTGTTCAGGTGGACAAGAATGAATCTTGTGTTTTGTGCTCAGTGCAGTGTAAAAAAGGACCCACCTTATTTGGTCAACAAGCATTCTTGTCATTCCAAATATGAGATGACCAGAACTAAAGTTGACATGTAACTCCATCAAAGTACACAGGAAAGAACAGTGAACTGTTTGCATGACAAAACACAAAAACATGAGTCACCGCTAACGCTGTCGTGACATCAAGGATATCGGAGTCCACTTTGTTTATCGGCGGAATAGCTTCCTGACAGATGTACATCGCATATTGTGTAATTGTACGGAATGCTCACAGGGGGTTTGGTCAGGAAGTCTTTGATTCTTGAATCAGACTGATTCTTAGTCACAGCTGTCAAACCGTTCTGGAGCGCTCCCACTTTTTTTTTTTAATGCTGAGCAAACAAGAATGAAGGAATTCCCAGCGGTTGACAAGCTCTTCAAAAGACGAAAAGTAATTTGAATGCTCGATTTAGAATCAAAGCAAAATGATCACTTTATTAGTACTGAAGAAAAACCCCACTCGCATTTTTCGGCCTACTTTAGAATCTGCATGAATTATTATTATTTTTTTTATTATTCATGCCTTTCCTGTACTGCGTATCCTGAGCATGAAAAGGTTGTGATCACTCAAGTCACTGGACTGGAATGGGTGGGTGATAGCCGTTCATATTCAAACCTGTCGGCAATTTAGAGTTTTAAATAAACCTCAGATGCATGTTTTGGTGCAGTGGTCAAGCACAGGGACAATATGCAAACGACCTTTCGAAATACCAGACCCAAGATACAAGCCCAGAATTATCTTGCTGGGAAGCGGCGGCGCTTGCCACTTTGCGCCGCATAAATACTTGAAAATGTATTTCAAGTCACGTAGCACATTTTTATCATAAGCTAACCATTTTCTGAGCCCTTAAAATGTGAAGAACCAATAATTTCAACATTCGAAAAAAAAGTGTTTTTATTGTTGTTCCGATGCGATTTTAAATTAAATGATGACGAATAATGTTGCAATATTTCACTATATTTCTTTCACACTGCATTTTTCTTTTCATTTATTATCAGCCATATTTTTCTTGACGAGGAATGATGGAGTTGCGGTTCAATCTGAAAACAGTGTCACCTAATGCGCCAGAGAAAGTGGATGAATGATGAATGGATGGATTGGAAAGGATTAAAATTTCTTTTGTGCGATGAAGTAGATTATATATACTGTATCAATGATTAGGGTGTAATAAACTTTTTTTTTCTATCTTCTTATAAATGGCTCAATTTGCTGCAAACCACCACAAATACCAAACACGATTCATTTCCCATTATCAATGTTTAAAAGAATGCACAGTAAAATCTTTAGTAATCTAACTACATTCGGCTGTATGAGAATTCTCAACCCAAAAGCACCCAACATTTTCCATCTGGCCGAGGCAGTGAAAGTCCCAGGGCTTCACACAACTGACCAACAAGAGCCACAATGCTCCAAGTGCGTCATTACTCGCCGCCTCAGTTCCGAAACTGAGGTTTCGCACACAAGTGCAATGGAGTCATCGTGACGCTGACTGAGCGCAAGCAGATACAGTATACAGCCGCCCCGTGCAGATCCCGTGATTGAGTAACATGCGTGAAAGCTGCGACAGAGGTGCTTTTTGGATTTTTTTGTATGAGGTAACAGCCTCTAAAGCAGGGGTGTCAAACTCATTTTTGTCGCGGGCAACATTGTAGTTACGGTTTCCCTTGGAGGGCCGTTATGAATTTTGGGAAACCATACAAATGTTTAATCGCCTCCACATATTGCATACACGGCGCACAACAAATTGATGAATAACTAGTTTTAAAATCAGAAGTCAAGCAACATAACTGTTATTGTGGATTACATATGAAAATTTGAAATTTTGGTTCAGACTTCAGCAAGCAACATGGAACTTGACATGCTTGATTTGCTTTCGCGGGCCACATAAAATGATTTGGCGGGCCAGATCTGGCCCCCGGGCCTTGACTTTGAGAGCTGTGCTCTAATTGGTCGGACCCCTTCATAAAATTTCGCCAATATGTCACTTCGCGGCCACTTCCAATGCAACGTCTCTTATTCTCTCGCCAATATGTCGTCGTGTGCATGTACGCAGTTGTCACATCAGAATCCCAGCAGACGCACATTATAGACTCTATATGAGTGAGACATGGCCGCCGGCGCAGCGAGTGGGAGGCACCAGGAACAATCTATCAGCAATCTCCTTAGAAAAAAAAATATATATATAATTAGACGGGCAGCTGTTTCTGTATTTTTAGCCAGGCTGCATTGGCTCAGGGCAATCATTTATTGTCGCGGGAAACACACGTGAAGAAAATCGACACTAACACACATGCGGGCTGCTGAAAATGAACATCGGGCACACAGACGATCACACCGGGTATGCACGCGTCCTCCTGTCAGCACTTCACCAGCTCCCTCCATAGAGGATCTCATTTTGCTGACGTGAACATACTGTAAAATCCATGCGCCTCACCCAGGGTAACTTTTGACCTCTTGGAAACTGTCGTTTCTCTAACAAGAAGCTCTTGTTCCTTTTTTTGCATGCCTCTGAATAATTACCGATCTATTTAAAGCAACGAGCCTCTCCATCACATTTGTCACTGTGTTCGAGATATGAATGGAGGTACACTGAGGCCTGTTCTCCTCTTTGTGTTATTCTTTGAGCGTGTGTTCCCATGGCATGACACTATATGGACAAACATCATCTGTTTTCATTTTTCCAGGATATTTTGAACAATTCTATACATCCAAATCTGTGGGAACAGTTTGGAGAAGGCCATTTTCTATTCGAGGATGAAATTTCACCAAGGCATGCATTTTGTTTTGGCCTGAGAGAACCTAAGACCCAATACTTTTGTCGATATGGTGTCTGCACTGTCATGCAGAAGGTTGATTTGAATCTATTCTCATGAGTAACCATGCGGGTTCTTTGTATAAACCAAGAGAACTCCATTTTGCATCCGTTAAAGCTGTTCTTTTTTTCTCTTCTGGCGTGTTGCCCTCTGCAGATCTCCGACAGCCTTCGTCAGAGCTACGCGACGTCGTCGCTGTGGCGTTTCCTCAGCCTGGGCTACGCCCTCATGCTGTGTCCCTTTATCATTGTCCTGGGGGGCATGTTCTTCCTGGCCACCGCGCTCTTCTTTCTGGATGACCGAGAAAAGGCTCAGAATCAGTAAGTGGCTCTTGGCAATGCTGGAATACGGAAGCACTTTCGTCTATGATGGTGCTGAAATCCGCTTTGAGCATTTTACGCACGCTTGAGAACTCATCGTCTCTTTTTGAATGGAAACTGGCTTTTTTATTTTTATTTCACCAATCAACATCATTCGGCTGCATGTCGGCTTGCGCGGTGGCTGTATGTGACGTGAAAATTACGTTGTCAACGCCGATTGGTTGTCGCCGACGAGGAACGGACTGGGCCCATGTGGGTTTGCCTGAAATTCTAACGCAAACATTGACGGACTGACGGACCTCCTCTGTGCATATGTAAATGGAATTATGAGTGTTTAGTACTGGTTTACTGAGCATTTTTGAAAAAATAGTTGGAACACATTCCATTACCAGGAACTCAAAACCCCACGACAATAACGTACTATTGACCCTTAAAGGCCACCATACGCCTACTTGACCAGCACAATGGAGATAGCAATCAGGGCCGCTTGGAGCCCTCGAGAGGTTCGGTAAAATGTTGATTTTCCTGAACGACCAGTGTATTTATGGGCTAGCTCGTCCTAGCCATCACGGACATTAGCAATTGTCCTCCACAACCCCGTCAACGATTACGTTTCAGCATGTGACGGCTGCATAGCGTTGCCGGCTACGTTTCGGCGTGTGACGGCCCATCAACAAGAAATTTTCAGAGCATGGCAGCCGCACAACCCCCCTCGACGACTATCCCCCGGCCTAATTTTGATCCCAGCATGACCCTGACACCAATCAATAAATTGTAATGTGTGTTTTAAAAATGGTCATGCCTGAGTATAAAAGACGAGAAAAAGAATAAATCAGGGAATCAGTAAAAGCAATACTCTGTTGTCGTCAGGGATAAGCGAACACACAAACCAACAGTGGTACAGCACGTGATCAAAACTGAACACGAAGGTCAGTCAACTCAAAAGCCTCAAGTGCTGACCCTGCCGTTTTAACCATCTTTATTTTGTTTTTATTTTGATCTATTTTTCTCTACCGGTTGCCACCCGTTATAGTGAGCACTCTTTTTCTAACACCCCACTGTGAAGACGCAGCTGCCCCATGGCCTTAAAAGGCTAAAAGCAAGGGGGTGAGGTATGACTTCATGTATTTTTCTTCCTTGCTTATTTTGTCTGACGTTTTATCTAATTGACATACTCCCCCGCTGCCTGCGCTCGCAGAAATTATTTCCTTCCTATTAAAGATGAAGGACATTTTTTTTTTTTTAGACAGGATGGCAGTCTGACGCCTGACATCTTGTCTCCGGTCAGTCAGCCTCTTTGTCTTCTTCGCCGTTTGGTACTTGTTCCCACGCTGAACCACTTCACGAAGGGAATTGAGACATTTGCTATCGCTTAAGATGGAAAACAAAAAAATCTATTAGCGATTGTAAAAGCTTGAAAAGTAATACCACGGGGAAACGTTTGGGAAGGCTTTGTGGAAAGACTCATGTACAGTACTTTGAAGTACTCCTGTCAGGCTACCATTCCAAGCTGTTAATATGCCCTCTGTGTATTGTTAAATGTATAATTTTACAGAGGTCTGAGAGTGGAGTAGGTCTATGACGGCCATACGTTAGCTGTGATGTGGTTTTTGTGGGCTCTGCTCCTGGAAAACACAAAAAGGCAACATATGCAGAACAAAACCCCAAGACGGCAGTCACGTCAGTAATTATCACGACTAGTCTGTAGTCCCGTTGAGATAAAATAGACCAAAGTGCTGCGTTCTCTTATCACTTTATCCAACAGAAATATGGCAGAATCCAATCCATTTTTCATTCAAAACGCACACAAAAACTCAAATTGACTTTTGGTCCAACATGCTAGAAAGCATCAGTGTGAATAGCTGTTTGTCTATATATATACGTTCCCCCGCAATTGGCTGGGAACCAGTCCGGGGTGAACCCACACCTCTCGCCCAAAGTCAAACAGGCTCCAGCTCAGCCATGACCCTAATAAAGACAAGCGCCAGGGAGAACGGGTGGACTCACCCACACACAGGTTAATTGTACACCAGCTCCAAGTATTTATGCTTAGCAAACATCCCGGTACAGACCTCACATAGTCTAATACATAGTCGCTCCCCTTTCACAAATTTGCACAAGACATCGAAGTGAAGGAAAACTTCAACAACAGCAGCCTCTTATGTAACATTGTCTCCTCGGGGGGGGGGGGACCAAGAACGGTGACACCTTTTGTACGACAAGGGTTGTTCCACGGCGGATATTTATAGATTACATTCACGCTATGAAGCCTCTGATTGGATCAATTCCAGCTGACTTTACAGAGCGCCGTTTCCCCTTCTTTGAGTACGTCGTCGCATACTGAGCTATTTATAAAAAGCGGCGGAGCTGAACTAGTATACTCACTGGAGCGCATCTATTTCCAGCTTCAAGGAGCATTTTTTTTTTTTTTTAAATTTCTAGGCTCCTTGCTTTTTTTAGCGACACTCTTTCTATTAATAGTTCATTGTGCCACCCCCCTTAGCCACTCCCCCCGCCACATACACACACTTGCCTGATCTCCATTTACCAATGTGCGAGTAGATCTCATCTGCCACGCCAGTGTTGACTTGTTGGGCACATCCATTTCGGGGTGTCGGGAAACTGCAACCGTTTTAGGACCAAATGCAGCAACGTTTCCTAATTTGATTTTATATTGGACCTAATTTGATGCTACTGTAAGCTTGTAATTAGAAGAGACGTGTCATTGTGATTGCCACGGGAACACCACTTCGTCTAATTAAGTGCTGTGCTGTGGTGTTCTCATATATAAAGGGTGAGGCTTTATATATCACTAACCCACATAGGATGAATAACACTTCCAGGCAACTGAAGGGAAAGTGGTACATTTGCAATTGTCCGTTGAAAATGGCGAATATCAGAGCCGCCGTAAACCAAGAGCCACCGTCTTACAGTCGTCTTTTTCGCTCAGTATGATGTGTGAGCACTGCTTGCTTTGGGGACTTCAGTGATGACCTAAAAAAAAAACTGCCATGACCACCCTGTTTTGACTCATTTATGCATATCAGGGAAAAAAATGAGCACTTTGGCCTGAACAGCTCGAAAACACAGCGTACTTGATTGGGTGGTGAAAGAAAAACGAAGCCACTTTGGGATATGTGCTAGTGTTGATGCTTGCAGTGCGGATTTGTTTGACTAGTTTTAAATATATCATCCTTCACCGCCATTAACCCTTTCATGGACAGCGGTTACTACAGTGGACAGCTTATAATATGATCAGGTTACAGGGTGCATGAAAGTTTTACTACCCAAAACTGTTTTATGGCATATACATTCATAAATGTTGTCTTTCTCTCATCAGGTTGAGCCAGCTCTCACGGCCCTCCACTTCGGTCAAGGTATGATAAGGTAATTTTTTTTTCTTTTTTTTTTTTACATCAACACCACTGATCGTATTTTGGTTCATTTGCATGCAGGTAGCATAGCTTCAATTCACACCCAGTGACAGTGTGAGGGCGAAAAGTTGTCTGTTTCTATCTACTATTTGATTAACTGGCGACGAGTCCTGGGCATTGTCTTCAGCTGGGTGAGGCTCCAGCTCCCCCATGACCCGGAAAAGGATAAGCGGTATAGAAAACGGATGGTTGGATGGATGAACACCAAAGTGTGTCTGGCTTGAAGCAGAATACTTCCTTTTGACGTGAGGTTATCCAGACTTAAAATACACACGACTGATTGCTTTACAGTAGCATTGTGCTGACAGAGTGTCTAACATTCCTGGCGCGGTTCTTTGACCCACTGCCTAATGTCTTATCAGGACCCATGCTAGCAGCCTTCCCCAGTTCCTGGACTTTTTTTTTTTTTTTTTTATCAGATGTACACACATGTTGCCCAAGCTCTCTAATTTTTAACTAAGGGGGGAAAAAAAAGAAAAACAAAACAAAACAATAAAGGGCAATGCCGCAGCCAAGTCCGCACAGTAGAACAATGAGAAGCAAATGTAGTTGCCGGCCCAGTTCAGCGTTACAAGAATAAACTCTTGACTCACCGATTCCGACAAAAAATTGAATTTTAAAGGTTATCGTATTCAGCCAAATGTTCTCAAACCGCTTTTGTAGTATCTATGATTATTCGACCTCTAGACGTTATCTGAAACTTTGTATACAAATAATCACGGATGTGGTTGTCAACCAAGCAACTGTTAGCGTTAGCTTGATTAGAAATTAGCTGGTAAAAGTATCGGAGCACTCGTATTGGTTCATTTGAGCTGAATGATGCTGAAGGTTGTTGAACCCTTTCAGGGATAGCGGTTACTACAGTGGACAACTTATGTTATCAGGTTACAGGGTGAATGAAAGGGTTAACTAGCGTGTGTGCCCGTGACATGTACCAAGGCAGAGCATTCCCAATCATCTTTTTGCTGACGAATGAAGATGAAGTGAAGCAGTACTCTTCGAAACGATTAAACTATGATTGACAATCCTCGCCGAATCCAAAGTTAGACGCTGAGAGGCAATTAACATTCTTGGCGGGTGGACTCGGCTTCCGCGCTGTAGGACATCCTCTCGCTAGTGACTCTTAAGCTAGTCAGCATGAGATCTTGACAGTAGCAGAACCTCACGCTCATTTCTGCAGGAACCACGCAGCTCGCGAAGGGAATCACATCTTGAAGCGAAAATCGCATTCGGTTACCGCCGCCGTCTAAAGCGACGTGTTTATACAGCTGCGGGCCTTCACACATTCATTGAGTAGAAACTCTCTGGAACGCAAGTCAGCAGTAAAGAGGAAGACACCGTGCGTCACACACTGTGCCGGTGATGAAATATTTGACCTCTTTCACCAGACACTTCCACTCGTGCCCAAGTGTGAAGCCAGGAACCGCTTTAATCATGATCTGCATCCTGTCAGTCCCAAACCACTCCATCAACTTGATTGGACTTTATTCCCTCGCCAGCTCCCATTAGCTCAGGAAGAGTAAAGCTGTGAAGGGGGGTTGAGGCAAGACTAACCTGCCATACAATGATGGAATCATCCGATCTATTTGTAGCCACGGTGGAATTTTAACTAGTTCATCACATTTTAGACTGCGAATGATCCTTTAAGAGTATGTATCCCCAAATGTATTTGTTTGAAGCTTGTTGTCATTTAAGTTCTCCTCCTCACTCATCCAACGAAACGCTCTGAGCTAAAACTAACCCAGAGTGGGTGAAATAGCGAACCCAGCGCTATGTCTGAAAGGAACCAAGCTAATGCTGGGTTATCCAACGACACCAGTCGTGTTAACCCACTGCCACCATTGATATTTTCAAAGAATACATTTACTTAAACTTCACTCATTCATTTTCCGATCCGCTTATCCTCACAAGGGTCACAGGGGTTGCTGTAGCCTATCCCAGCTGTCTTCGGGCAGTAGGCAGGGGACATCCTGAACCGGTTGCCGGCCAATCGCAGGGCAGAGAGACGAACAACCATCCGCACTCACACTCACACCAAGGGATATTTAAAGTGTTCAATCAGCTCGCCGTGCATGTTTTTGGAATATGGGAGGAAACCGCAGTACCCGGAGAAAACCCATGCAGGCCCGGGGAGAACATGCAAACTCCACACAGGGAGGCCGGAGCTGGAATTGAACCCGGTACCTCTGCACAGTGAAGTCAACTGGACCACTGGACCACCGGGCCACCCTACTTAAACTTCAGTACACAAAATGTCCAATATGGCAAACAGCTTCAGCTATTAAAATCAAATGTTCGCTTGCTGGATCAAAATATTGGCTAAAGGTAACCCAACTTGCTCAAAATGAGCGTGAGTGGGTTCGGAAAACAACCTAGCATCTTTTAGTGTCTACCAATCAACCTTGGTATCTTGGTAGAGTTAAGCCCAACCCTTGGCTAATTCATACACTGATTAAATCACCCACATCTCCGGTCAATATGATATTTGCAAGAATGGAATTGTGCCAAGCTGCCGGGCACTGATCCCATTGTAGCAGCAGTTGTAGTTTGTGTACGGTGGCAGGCAGGCCACGGATGACAGACCGGAATAGACAGCGGGCCACGCCACTTTCTGTCTCATCCATTCTGATCACATCACAGCAATGGCACCTTGAGGAAGCGAGCGCGGTTCTTCCCTTTCTCTTGTGTATTTACTTTTTTTTTCGATATGTGTGTACTTTATTATTCCAATTTTTAACAGTTTAGATTGCAAAGTACAGTACGTTTGATGTCAATATGTGTGTGTCTGCACAGCATGGTATTGTTGTTGCATGTTTGGGTGTTAGGGTCACGAAGTGTTGTTATGGATGCAGGGGAAAATATTTAGGTCACAGTCTGGTGTTAGCTGTATCATGAAGGTCCGAACAGATGGCCTAAGAGCTTTGGACCTCAACATTAATTACAAACCCATGGCGAGGACACTACTAACCACGCAATCCGCCTCCTCTCATCCTTCCAGGTGACAACGCAGCGATAAAGCAGCAACCGAAATGACAACGCGGAGATCAAATTCCAAGCCACACCCGTGCCCTCGTCCTCCAGGGCCGGCATCCTCCCTTGCTGCTCCTCGTCTTAACGTGCCCCCGCGGAAATGCCTCTTGCTTGAGACGCGAGGGAGCGTCTTGCCTCTCCTTGGTGACGCCTCGGAAATCACAAGCGGGTGTGAGATGGTGCCCAGCGGCGTGCCAAAGCCTGCCAACGTGACAGCTGGTGTCCACCTCACCTCTGTCTGTGAGGATCTGCTGAACTTTCACTCGGAGAGGGAGGAGGTGACCTCCGTGACATCCCCCTGATGCCATACTACTGAATGCTGACCATGAACCTGCCCTGTCTGTCTTAGCCTGTCTGTCTGTCTGTCTACTTGTCCGTCAGTTGGCTGTCAAATCTGCACCAAGTGCCATAGTGTCATTACATTCCTTCAGACTTTGCACTGACCACCCTCATGACATCACCACCGGCTATGTTTACATGCACCATTCAGTCCCTCAAATGAAAAGATAACGCAAGCTCCAGCCCCTCCGCTTTCTCCATCATACGCGTGGATTTCACCGTCGAAAGCCCGTAGAACAGACCAAAGCTGCAAACTTCAAAAATGCCGCGGGAAAACCCGCAAGTGTACATCCCTTCACATCATCTTGGGACAAAGGCAACAGCCGCGATCAACCGGCCGCCACGATCGCATTTACAAGCAAGGCCGCGCAGCGTGTGTGTGTAAACATAGTTTTCATCCGAGAGCCAAAAAGTGTTACTGCACACGGGTCAGTGAATCAGCCTTAAAGCGCTCCTGTCCACAGAGCAAACCAGCTGTTTCCGACAAGCCTCAGATGCGTATCCTTTTTAGCTGGGAGCACTTAAATCAGCGTGTGTGCCAGAGAGCATGAACGGGATGGGAAGAAAGTTCTGCCAATTATTTTTCACGATCTTTATTTGGATGTTTTTCGATGTGAGGTCTGTTTTAATAGTCGGAGGTTACTGCCTGTGATTGTCTCAGAGGAATCAAAATGATACAATTGAGGTGGTTTTAAAAAAAAACACTGGATTATATATTTTATAATTTATGGTATGTACATATCCCCCCCCCCCAAAAAAAAAAAAAAAGAACGTTATTATTGTGACTTGGGGATGTATAAAGTGTTTTGATGTATATGGGAAGCAATACTTTTTTTTTGGGGGGGTGGAAGCTTTTTATCCACACTGCCTTATCAGTGAGCTGGCTTTCTCACTCTCTGATGTTTGGTTTAGAATTTCTGGACAAAATACCCTCACAGAGGTTCTTTTTAAAGACAAGAGTTCAGTCCCAGCCCACACTGGATAGAATAACATCTACCCCCTGTCGATATTTTAGCTAGCTCATGCCTTGACCAGAAAAGAACTTTTGCCATGAGCTGCAGCCATTAGTTTATTGCTGAAGGAAATCTAAATCCCAGACAGGAAAAGGAAATGTTCCAACAGATAAGCGAGGATCACTATCACATTTTTTTAACTTCAACTAGGAGGGAAAAAAAAAATTTAAACCTTAGTTTGAGTGTAAAATCTTCATAAAACAGCTCAAAGGATCATTTTCTGGCAGTAACTGGTGGATGCAATTTTTTTAGGAAACCTGAAAGCCACTAATCAGAGTCCAAGTTTTGAAACAGGTGCATGAAAAGGAAGAGGAGGGGGGTTTTGGGGGTGGGGGGGAAGCACTTTTCAGGCTTGCAAGGAAATAGACATGATGAGGATGAGTTGACCTTGGTGGAGGAATAAAAAAGCGATGGCGTCGTTGCGGAAGTCCTTGTAGCACTGATGTGAGCGCATGACGAACGGGTCGTGTGTGTGTGTGTGTGTGTGTGTGTGTGTGTGTGTGTGGTGTGTGTGGGTGTGTGGGTGTGTGTGTGTGTGTGTGTGTGTGTGTGTGTGTGTGTGTGTGTGTGTGCGCGTGTGTGGGCTGCGTCCTTGGTGACGAATGATTAGCTTTAGCTTCTCTCTGTGGAGCTCACTGAATGTGATTGTGTCCAACCTGATGCATTTATACGCATGCATCTTCTTAATAAAGCTTCTTACCTTCCTGAAATTAATTTTTATTATTACCAAATGTTTTAATGAACTATATACATATGCATATATATATATATATATATATATATATATATATATATATATATATGCAGCAATCGTAATATATTGTAAAGTGATGGCTTGGATGCAATGTATTTATTTGTTGACCATAATGATGAAGAATCTGTAAAGGGAATACTTAGGTTTGTGTAAATCACACTTTGTTTCATGTGGTTGGGTTTCGAGACGCCTGCTGGTTCTTCCTTTTGTATTTCCATGAAAAGACATTTTGTTTCACGAAGGCTCAACTCGTCAAGCTTATCTCACACATTTTACACACAGAAGGAACAGCGAATTGATGCTTCATTTTGTATGTTTTTTTTTTTTCCAAAAACTGGTTGAACCATTTTGCACATTAATGTTCAGGGATTTTATTTCAACAATAGCGTAGCATCCATGTCCCCCGCCTGTACCCCAAGAGGTCATTTCATGCTCACATCATGGCATCGGACAACAAATGGGTCATGAATTTGATTTGCCAAATTTAGTGGATTTCGCACCAATCCTTAAGTATCTGTCGTATCTCGTAAGTCTATGTTAATCATCACTGAGGTGATGTGTTGAGAATGCACAATTTCTTGTCATACAAGAATAATGTAAATAAACAAACCTGTTCTTTTTTTCTGATGTTCAAGCAGAAAACAAAGAGGTAATTTTTTTATTTTTAGGCAGGCTGACCCGAGAGAAGTGTGAACCGATATTATCTGATAGAACTGAACTGTGATGCTCCCGTCATGGGTTGATACAAAATGTACACATCTGTAATTCAAAATAAACCTACAGTATTTAATCACCTTATATTTTGTTCGTGTATCTATTTATTTGGCGTGTGGACGAACGAGACCCACACACACACACGCACGCACGCACGCACGCACGCACGCACGCACGCACGCACGCACACACACACACACACACACACACACACACACACACACACACACACACACACAGACTGGTTTTTATGGTTTCTGGGGACCACTTGTTTATTCATCACTTATGGGGACCACCCTTTCCAAATGACATACAGCTATAAAAAAAAATAAATTTTTTTTTAAAAAAATCAGGGATGCACACGGTGGCTTTGTTATCCTATACACACCTTTAAATTTCAGAATTTATTAAGTAATGGTTAGACCATATCATTTGGGGACTTCAGAAAACTCGATTTTACATGCGTGATGGGGACTTACACATATGCGCACACACGCACACGCACACACACACAAATATATACATATATACATATATGCATATAAGGGGGTCAGTAATGAAACGAGCAGCACAACTAAAGGGAAACAATTTCAATAGCACGCTAAACTCCTTCAAATCAGATGACCAATTGCTCCACGGCTTCCCTTCTTTCAAGTAAAAGTAGGCCATTTGTATTGTCATTGCCCGGGACACACCCATAGACTCACTGGAGACTTTGTTCTAATAAAAGCCGAGACCAAAAACTTAGCTGTGATACAAATGATAAAAATAGTTCATTTTGATTGTCACTGACACGGTGTCAGGTCGTAAGGTTACGGCTGTTGTTTCTCGTGGTATAACAATGACTGTAAATACGTATACGACACAGTATATTTTGAATTTTAACACATGCATGCACACATCTCAAAGTTCGACCAGGTAGCAAATAGGGACAAGACATCTGGTATCATACAAGGGAGGAAGATCATCATTGCACGCATGAGGTGGTTTCGTTATGGATTGTACATGACCTTCAACCAGAGTGACTTGATCGATCATTTGAATGTTAAGAAGGAAGGAAGAAAGGAAGGAACCATGGTCATACTGAGAGTTGTTTCTTATGATTTGCCGCTAAACAAAGTAGCCAAAACAACATCGGTAACACCAACAAACACCTCCCAGTATGGTGCAGTGTATTACAAATGTAACTCTTAAGTAAATTTTACGTTATGCGATGCAATGTGATACCCTCGTATCATAGAATTATTATTCCCCCCATTAACCCCGTTCATAAAAGTAATCAGAATTTCCTTTTGACTTGTTCGACTCCATCGAAGTGAATGTCTGATCATGAAAGCACACTCTATTGTTTTTTTTTTTTTAACTGTGGCTATAAACATTCTTTTTTTTTTTCTCTCTCCTGTCTACATCTTTGTCGACTCACAAAGCCTTGACTTAAATCACAGCTCCACAGTGCTTGACTGAGTTCAGGAATGAACTAGTATATTGTTCAGGTGCAGTGAGGCAGGGCTCCGTGAGGCCTGGCTTGTAAAATAATCTTGAGAGTCTCTTGAGGGGTGTCCAGATGCACTGACACATCTTAGACTCGCCACACAGACAAAAAAAAAAAAAAAAAAGAAGAAACTTAATATTTACCTTTGCGGGACGTGAACAAGTGCACCCCAAGGCGTTCTTTGGGTTGATGTTCATTACAGAGGACAGAGTGAATTAACATGAATGCAAATGGCGCTAATGGATATGTCTATGACAGGCCTGTGCAAACTCAAAGTGAAGTATATGCTGCGTTAGTGACAAAAGAAGACGGGGATTATGCTTTTTGGAGTCTTTCATTAAGACGGCGCTGCAGTTGAAATGTGTCAGCTTGAAAAAGAGGGGGGGTGGAGGGGCAAGATTATATAGCAGCCACAGGAAGCTCAAAGTGGAGAATCAATGTTTGGTTGGTGGATGACCCACACCAACCCACACCCTTTCCCACAGGCAGGCAAATATGTACCCCAAAGTCAAGCGCTCGGATCTCAAATGCGGGCAGGAAACACTGGGGCGTAGACAGGAAAAGCGGAGCCATTCTCGGGAGCGGTGGAATTTCCATATACACATCAGCGCTTGAACTCACAGAGGACAGTTTAGTGAAACGCGCGGGGGCAAAGTGAGGCGGTCACGTCCCTGCCGAGCCATGTGAAGCTTCGACTTGTTTAGGGTTCAAAGGCGGTGTTGTTTGGACCAGCCCTTGTAAAAAAAAAATGTCATTACCATCGACTCTCAAGAGCCTGTTGTTGGACAGTTAAGGAACTCATGAGGACCCACGTCAGCTTTTCGTTTGAGCACCATTGAGATTCTTTCAGTCTCTCAATCGGAACTTTTAAATTAATCAGCATCATAATATTATCTTGGCTTCAAAGAGTTCTTAATCCTCAAAAATATGACATGCAAATCCTTTCAAACTGTGAGCTTCATCGGGGTTAGTGGATGAATGAATTAGCAAATATTTTGTCAGTCCTGGTGCTTTGAGCTTCAAAAAAAAAATAGATGTGATAACGTGTCAGATAATTTAAGATCATCTGCTCTGCACGATCATGCTCGTACTGTAAATGTCTCACCCATCCACTTCTCTGGCCTGAAATCAACTGAACTCAAGCAGCGTGAATACTCATGACATGATTTTCAAGACAGTGATTCCTCGCTCTCACGCGGTTCACTTTCCGCGGCTTCGCTGTTTCACGGATTTTTTTCGTGCAGTTTTTTTTAATGCTTTAAACCCTTTAAATCAGAACGCGTTGGCGGCGCCGCGTGTCAACAGTTCATTATTTCCAAAAACTATTGTAGTTATTTGTTGAAAACGTTTGTTTTTGTCGTAATTTGGCCTGAAAACAGGTTTTGGTCTTTGATTTCTTTGTATATATAGTTAAGTATTGTATAATAACTGTAAAAAAATAAAGTTCACTACTTCACGGATTTCACTTATCACTGGTTCTTTTTGGAACGTAACCCCGCGATAAACGAGGGATTATTGTACTCATCAAGTTCAAGTTTTTGGTTGTCATTTTACAAAAATATGCGCTTGTTTGATATTTGTCTCTCTGGGACATCAAAATTTGGAATGAGAAATTTCACTTTGTTAATCCTTCACGAAGGCGGCCAGGTCTTCCGGCTCCGGTCTCCCTGTGTGGAGTTTACATGTTCTCCCCGGGCCTGCGTGGTTTTTCTCCGGGTACTCCAGTTTCCTCCCAGATTCCAAAAACATGCATGGCAGGCTGATTGAACACTCTAAATTGTCCCTAGGTGTGAGTGTGTGCGTGGATGGCTGTTCCTCAATGTTTGCCCTGCGATTGACTGGCAACCAGTTCAGGGTGTCCTCCGCCTATTACCCGAAGACGTGCTGGGATAGGCCCCAGCACCCCCACGACCCTTGTGAGGATAAAGCGGATCAGAAAATGGATGGAAGTATGGATAAACCTTCACCATTCGTGGGTGATAGGGACCCAACACTCCCACAAATGACTTTTATGTTTCTGCTCTCCTTGGATTTGACCATGTTCCCGAAAATCTCCAATATTTAGGAACTCAACAGTATGTGCTGTGAAAATTATTTGTTCACCAGTTCCGCAAACAACACATTTTATTCTTGAGTTGCTTGACTCCCAAGCATCCGCATATTCTTGTATTGTACGATCGTCACTTCTTTGAGCTTAATTCAAACTCAATGTGTGAACCATCGGGCCTGAGGAACCAAGTAACCTTCAGTTGTCAGCGTGTGCGTTGATGCAAGGCTCCGCATACGTTACGTCGCGCTTAAAGGAGCTGACACATGTTCCGGAGGAGACGAGATATGTCGTCCTCCTCGTTGCTGTCACCTCATGCGGAATAAGAGCTGCGCTTCATGGTGGGTTGAGCA